AAGAGCGTGGGTGCCCAGGGCCAGGGCACGGGGCATGCCAGACTCGGAAGGATGCGGAAGGTGTACATTCTGTTGCCACTGTTTGACGAAGGAAGAGGCGAGGCCCGGAGGGGTCAGCAGGCTTCCCAGAAACCACGCGCTTGACTAAAAGCAGGACCAGGGCTGTCGGCCGAGGCCGGCAGGGCGCGCGCCATTGGACGCAGGGCTGTAGTCCTGCGGCAACGCAGAGGCGACAGGGAGACTCAGCTCCAGGGCGGGAAGCATTTCATGAAACCGAGGTCGGATTCGGGGGCGGGGCCAGTAGGGCAGGGCGGGGCCTGCCTTCCCTGCCTTCTCCCAGATCGGTCTGGCAAAAAAGCTTCTCTGCTAAGTTTTGCCTGCCTCCTCGGGAAGAAAACTGCAAGGGGTAAAATAGGAGTAGACAGGGGAGAAACCATTTGTCCAGTTTCTATACAGCCCCGTTGTTGTTATCGAGGATGATGCGGCAGCTCACGAGTGCTCTGCGCACTGAGTTCCCACCTTTCCTCACACACTGTCTCCCTTTCGGTCACAGATGGGTCTTCTCCTCAGGCCGCCCGACCCACCTTTGGGTCCTGAGGCTGCAGCCCCAGCATCAGCGGACCTGCCCGGCTCTCCCGTACCATTTGGCCAAGGAGTGTGATCGTGGATCAGACCTGGCTGCTAAAGCAGTTGTCCCTTTACAGCCTGGAAGGTTCCCACCGTGTTTTGGGTTTGGGAGACATTTCCGCAGGGCTTCACAATGAGGCTCCAGGGCCTCAGACTGTAACTTCCCCATTGTAGCCACAATGGGGACCCATCGAAACCCTAAACTCCTTCCAGATCTTGGGCCGCCAGGAGCTTCCAGTCCGCTGAGATTTCAAATTCGACTTTGGAGAGGATGGGATTTGCTGTCTAGCTGGCCCCCGGACTCTCCAAAAAGGGACCCGCAAGATGAATCCTGCAACACACGTGGCCCTCCATCCGAAGGGCAGGAAACGGGCAGGAAAAGCAAATGCGACTCAGTCCCTCAGATGCCGCCAGGCGACCGAAAGCCTGGAGGAAATGCTTGGCAGCGGCGCCAAGGAACACGAAGTCGTCTGTGGCATCTTTGCAGCTCACTGCGGAGGAGTTGTGATGAGAAGGTCCAGCCTCGTTCTGACGGGTTCTCCTGGCTCTAAGCACGGGAGTGGAGAACTCAGCCAGGGGCGCAGGTCTTACCGAGAGCCCAGGTTCTTCGTGAGATAATATATATCTGTTGTTTTAATTATACCAAAGCAGCTATTTCATCACTAAAAATATAGGCCAAAGAAAATAGGTCCGAGAGGGTCCGGGTGAAGCCTGGGCTGGCTCTCCAGAGCCACAGGGCAAGCTCAGCCTCTTCCTAAAGCTGCTTCTGATGTTGACGGAGATGTGGGATTTGAAGAAAAAGGACATGTCGTGACAGATCGCCAGCTGGTCTACCTCCCTGACGGTGTAGAAGAAAACTGGAACAAAGTCCCTTGAAATAGAGATTTACGATGCCAGGAATAATGGATTCTTTGATTGGATTGTTACGTCAGGGGGTACCAAGAATAACCCAAAATAGATACTCCTTGGGATCCCTTCACCAGAAGGTCATAAGACATGCAGCTTCCATCTTGCTGTCCCTCACCACTTGTTTTGAGGGAAGCTAGATGCCTAGAGAGATGTCTGCATGCTGAGGACTGAGGCATCCTGCCAACAGCCAGGTGAGGGGCCATCCTGGGAGTCCACGCTGCAGCTGCGGCCAAAATCCTGACTGTGGCTGCAAACTCATGAGAGACCCCTAAGCTAGAGCCACCCATGACGCTACTTCTGAATTCAATCCTACAGAATTACGTGTGACAAAAACGTTTATTGTTGTTTAAAGTTGCTAAGTTTTGCAGTAATTTGTTTAGCAACAAAAAACTATAATCGAGAAAGGAATACATGTTTAATGTCTGTGAAACTTAACACTATTATAAAATTGCTTTGTAGACCAGTTGTATATCTTTATGCTCTAATTACCAAAGAGCAGAGGAATTACCAGACCCATAACGATATAAAACATTACCAGAAATCTGACTTTTTGTTTCCCAAAGCCCAAGCTCTCAAGAGGTCGGTATGGATCTCAGAAGGGCCATGCGGAGGGAACAAAGCACATCGCAGGGGCAACCAGGCGAGATGATGAGCCGGGAGACTGAAAAGCAGATGGCTCCTCCGCCTCCACTATGCCGGCAGAAGCACCGCACGTGCCTGGGACCCGTGGACCAAAGAACGCCCAGCCTGCAGGAAACTTTTCTAAGACTTTGAGCCAAAGTTGGAGGACATGCGGGAAGGAAAAGCTCAAGGCACTATGGAAATACTCTGGAAAATGGCAGCTTCGCAGCTTATTTTGTAAGTTAGACTCAAAGGAGAAGGCGTAGGAGGGTCAGGGACATCCACTGGTGGTGGGGTAAGGGGCGGGAGAAAGCAAAGGGGGGCCATCTCTGCGGCTGGATACAAAGCCAGATGGCGAGACACACTTTTTCAGGGCGGGCGCGGAGGGCGGTATGTGGGGACCAGCACCCGGGAGGCCCCCTCCCCCGGCAGGTGCAGGCGGCTGAGCCTCCGAGGTGAGCAAGGGAAAGTCACCCCGGCATCTCAGAGGCGCGTCATCCCAGACGCCCAGACGACAGGCACTTCCAAAGGCAAAGACTGACCTTTGTCCCGGAGACTACAGGCGAGGACGCGACCACCCGTGACCCGCTTGGTTAGCAACGTCCACCTTCCGTCTCTGCGTCTGTGGGCCGCCTCCCGAGCGTGCCAGGTTTAGGCTGCGGCCCTTTCTCGTCCGCACACCTCGGAGGGAACCCGCGGGAACCGAGACTGGGCAAGTGAAGACGAAGTTTGCGCGGCCCCCTCCAAATGGAGTTTGACTCGGAAAAGGTGGAATTACCCAACAGGGAAGGCCGCACACACCACACTGATGCGGTTGCTCAGGAAGCGCGCGCCGACCGGGTGAGAGCGCGGAACCCGCGCGGAGCGGCAGGGTAGAGGCGTCCCCGCCCCGCCCACCTCCCCTGGAACCCGCCCC